ACTCAACAGAAGAAAAGTTACTTCAAAGACCATGAATATTGGTGAATGATAGGTTTAGCAAACTTGGTGATGACTGTGGTTTTTGTGTTTTATAGTTTTTGTTACTTTATTCATTTTTAATTTTGTTAAAGAACTTGACTTGAAACATAGATAGTACTCAGAACACTGTTCTATAGCCCAAGCAATTGCCTCATTTCCACTAATAAACCCTAAGCCGTAACAAAGGGCTCCAATGTGGCCTTGGCAATGCACACCAAAAGTACAAACAGGGACACCATCCATGCGCACTATTAGTTCTCTGATATTTTTCAGCTGTTGATGGAATCAGCCTCTCTGAGAGCTACCACAGAGTTCGGGAAACCTGACTACCAGCCGGCCTCAGAACCATAAAACTGAGTTTTAGAGCTGAACCCTCATTTGGAGATAATAGAATGAGTTGCCTAGTCATAAAAACAGAGACACAAGCAAAACCCATGCATTGAGTCAAGAAGATCCAGCGTTCAACATCGAAAACTGAAAACAATGTATTTAAAATACATCTACGCCAGCCTAATAGATGAAAAAGGAGTGCGAGGCTGGTCAACAGATAGAATCTGTTTACCCCTTAAGTCTTTGCCTAAGAGGCCTTCTACAAGACAGCAGCCGGATGCATTAAACATCAGCCCAAGATGAGTATTTTTATTGAGACACTATCTCTATTTTTATCGAGACACCATCTCTAGATGGTGATAGTTTGAATAAACTTTAAGGAAAACAGATAGTTTGAATAAACTTTAAGGAAAACATTGCGTGCTCTGTAACTCTGTAAATAATAAAAGCTATGAAGCATAAATGAAGTAAAATCTAAATAATCATAGGAACCAAAAACTAATAATTATATAATACGAACTCTGTACCAATGATGTTATACCCTTACATTAAAATATAAAATTAGTTTAAATTTTAAAATCTTTTAACTTAACTCTAAGCTAGAGGTCAATGCAAGAATAAATTATTTACTATTATCAATTATATACCATTTTTTGGGATTTGATATGTGCATTTTTTGGGATTTGATATTATCAATTAAATGTCATTTTTTGGGATTTAATATTAGGAACATATGTCCCTAATTCCGAATGAAAACTTCTCTCTTTAAAATTAAAAAATAAAAAAAATTTCATTATAAATATACTTTGTTGCTTGACATGATTTAATTCAGTTTAGGTTCCAGCTTATTTATTTTAAAAAATTATGTTGAAATTCAAAAAACACACGGAATTATTTAACTTTAGGTGTAATTTTGTTCGGAATAAGGGATTTTTACAGTATGTTATTTTGTATGTATGACATTTTGTATGTATGTTAGTATGACATAACACCTCCCACCTAAATCAGCAGGATAAGATTTATAATGCATTATTTACTTTACACCATTATGAAATAAAGCAACAAATTATCTTCAGTTAAGATAATTTGTTGCTTTATCTGCAGTTTTATGAACTTGCAAAAAATAAACTATTTTTTTTCTCTTTTGTTATATTATAATAATGCTATAAAAACATATGCTTGTTTTAGTATATTACAAACTGCTAGCATAATTTTGTAATATTCCTGCTGTTATGTTTGTGTATGTAAACATATATTTTTTATATAGATAAATATTTTTTATATGTTAATAAAACATAAAAAGTATATATCAATATTACAAAACTATGCTTGCAGTTTGTAATTTACTAAAACAAGCATATGTTTTTATAGCATTATTATAAAAACATATGCTTGTCTTTGTAAATGACAAACTGCTAGCATAGTTTTGTATTATTGCTTTTGTGGTGTTTGCATATACAAAAATATATTTTATATAAAATATATATTTTGCATGATGTCAATTATAATACAAGCAACACTTTTTCCACAAAAAATACAACTGATTGATTGATTAATCAGCTTTATTTTATTTAAATTATACAGTTAAAGGTTGGTGCCAAAGTTTAGAAGTTTTAAGCACTGTCTAAGAGTAATTTTTTTTGTTGGTTTAGTTATTCATAATATGTTACCTGCAAGTTATCTTAAAGTTTGTTTGGAAATGTTTTGTTTGTAGTTTGCTAATTGATGGTGTATTTTTCTGTCATATGCCCTCAATCGTTCTGCATAAAAAATCTTACACATGAATAGGAAGGAACCTTGATGTGGTTCATGTGCTTTAAACAATTACTTTCCAAACAGATACTCTTTCAACCTTTATTCTGTGGAGATGGAGCATCATCATATTTTCTGAATTTAGGTTATACTCAAGTAATAGAAATTTTCAAATTTATTCCCAAAACCCTAATTAATTGCACTAGTTGTGTTCAGAGAATAATAATAATCAGGTTATAAGAATCATTATTTAAAATGAATATTAAAATTCTTTTATTTACTTTTAGTTCTGTACACTGTGGATTTCAAGAATGAGATATAGGTATAAATTCAATTCAATTTAAATTCATAGATATTTTTGATAGAAAAGATAATGACCCAAATTTAGAAAACACTTTAACTTACTTGACAGGTACTTGTCAATTAAAAATAAAATAGAGACTAAAAGTCAAAATGAAGTATGATGAACTGGCCAAGCTACAGTTGTGATAACTGGAGACAGGTTACCATTTACAAGATGACAACTATAAAAATAAGCTTTTAAGAAGTCTTTAATACTTATTTTTTCTTAAAAAATAAGAGACAAAAAAGAAACGAAGGAACTAAAAATAAGAGAAGCAGGAATATCTTCAATAGTCAAAGTTTTAACAGAACTAGACTCCTTTAAGGATACTGGTAATGAAATAGATGACTTTATTCTATCATCAGCAAAAAAATTGAAATTGAGCAACAGAAAAAAAGAATAGGATTATTCCAGCATTTAAGTGCGACAAATGATGTACTTGGCTGAATTTAATTTTAACTTAATTGTTTAAGGTTTTCTGCATTTGATTATTTGAAAATTCCCAATTGAAATGGTTCCTTGCCTATAATTTGTCAAGGTTAATACGCCAATATTAAAATTTTTCTTCATTTAGAGAGACTCTTTGCTGTGCAAAGAGTGATTAAAAATTAAGAAGAAATTGTGGAAAAAATTTTGCAAAATTTCAGAACTCAACACTAAGGTCCCATTGCCTGTACATTGGGACAGAAAATTATTTTGAACAGAAAAGATAAAGTAAATTAACATATTAGCAACAGGATATAATGTAGAAAACTGTCAGCCTTAAAACTGGATAGAGGCACTGGCAAACAATTGAAATAAGCTACAGAACAAGCCTTAAAAGATGTGAATATTTCATATGACAGAATTGTAGCACTATGTTTTGATACTACTTCAAGAAATACAGGTATACATTTAGATGCTTGTAACATGCTGGAAAAATTAATTGGAAAATCTCAATTATACACAGCCTGTTGACAACATGTTTATGAAGTGATTAAATCGTATGTTTACAAAATTTGTTTAGGATTTTAATTCTGAATCATGGTTTTTAATTGATGATCTCAAAGTGTATGTACCATTAGCACTAGAATTAAATGCAAATATGCTGCAAAGGATAAATCAACATCATTTAAATTAAATCAACACCACAAAGCTGCAAAGGATAAATCAACATCACAAGGATTAAATCAACACCACAAAGAATTTTTGCAACTGTTAAAAATTAAAAAAAAAAAATATCAACAGTTGCAAAAATTTTTTAAAGCACATCAAGGTCAAAGTGGAATAACTTTTTGTACTCCTGGTGCTATGCACCATGCGTAATTGATTGCAAAAGCACTATAAATATACTTAATTAAAATCTACTTGTTTTCGACATCAAATTCATTTAACAAAAAAAATTATTTATTTATTAAATTGTAGAAGAAAAATCTTCTACAATTTTCAATTTTATCAATTTTGGTTTACATGGAGCATTGGTTTTGGCTCCCATCTCTTTATCTGCTCCTCACAATAATCTGAAAATAATTAACATTTTGAATAATTTCAAAATGTTTGAAAAAGAAATCACTAAATCTGCCATTAAATGCATTGCAGAACATTTACGATATTTAACTGAAGACTTGTTTCAGTAGCAATCTTAATAACCAAATTATATAGAAAAAGTTGGTTGCAAACGAAGGCTGGAAACAACATTGTAAAATAGGATTTAAGGCAAAGAATAAATACAGGGTTACCACTGTAACTTTTAAAGTTTTTCCTTGAGTTTTCCTAGAGTATTCCCTGAGTAAAGAACATTTTTCTCTGAGTTGAACTCTTTAAGTTCCCTGAGTTTTCCCTGAGTTTCCTCTGACTTTTCTGTATTTTTTCCTGTTCATCAATGAGATTGTTATTTTCCTTAATTAAACACAATCTTTATATTTGACTAACTAAACCTTTTACAACAACACCCACATCTTGCAAACTTATTATTATATGTGTTAACCAAATATTTTTGAAAAAAAATTACTGTACAAAATTTAAAAAAAAAAATTATTTTCCCTGAATTTTCCCCGAATTTTAATAAATTTTTAAAAAATCCCTGAGTTTTTGAGGTTTTCCCTAGGACTCATGCTATTTCCAGGTATTCCAGGTTTTCCAGGTTGAGTAGCAACCCTAAAATATATAAAGTTGTAAGCATGAAAATAGATGAGTTTGTAACATTGGAATTTGAATACCTGGAAGCACACAAAATTGTTAATTCTATGAAAGTTATATATGATACAGCCAAAAGAAGGGAAATTTATTTAAGTCTTGACAAAAGATAAAACTCAATTGCAATATATTAAACTGTGGATGAACATCAACCTAAAATTCCAGATATTTAGAAGTCCACTATTGTGAACAAATTAATGAGAACAATAGTCAACAATCTGAATTGAACATTAAATAAAATCATGTAACTTGCAAATATAAATTTACAAATTTTATATCAAAAATTTACAAATATTATATTAAATCAAAACAAAATAAGATATAGGTTTTCCTTTCAAAAAAAAAAAATTACAAAACTTACTAAACCTATCACAACTTCCAATGAGTTTCCCCCATTTACTAAAGTAATAGTTATCAAGTAGATACTTTTTATGAAAGCAATTTTTGAAAAAATATTTGTCCACTGAAATGCAACATTTGAGCTTATATTTTTCATTGGAATTATTTCAAGCATAGAATTGATATCAAACTGGTTTTGTTCATTAAGCATGAATTTTCCTATAATTTATAATTTAAACATTTAATGTAGCAACACTGTATTAAAAAGAACTTAAACAAAATAATAAAAAAAATAATTTAATTTAAAACAAATACAAGTCAAATTTTTAACAGAACAAAAATGCAAATATAATTTCTATAAATTTTAAGAAAGGTGCTTAAATTTTAACTTATTATATTTATCAGCAAAAAGACTAAAAAATAGCATTTACATGTTTATGTTATTCAGAGCATGCACACACACTATATATATATATATATATATATATATATATATATATATATATATATATATATATATATATATATATATATATATATATATATATATATATATATATATACATATATATATATATATATATATATATATATATATATATATATATATATATATATATATATATATATATATATATATATATATATATATATATATATATGTATGTATGTATGTATATATATATATATATATATATATATATGTATGTATATATATATATATATATATATATATATATATATATATATATATATATATATATATATATATATATATATATATATATATATATATATATATATATAAGATACTGGTTGCTTTTTTTATTATTATTATTATTAAATGTCAGCAATTTACAGCTTAAAAACTGCTAAAACTAAGTAAAAATAATATCAAACTTTTTATATTTACCTGTGTCATTTTCTTTAATATGACTGTAGAACAAACAACCAAGTTCACACAAATTATAATTCTAAAATAGAATTTAATGAGGAAAAAATTCCTTTAAGTTTTATGTACTTTTGAAAAAATTTTATAAAAATAATAATATTTTTATAAAAGTTCTGAAGACTCCTATAAAAATTGCTTTAAAAGTTTTTTTTTCAAATATCATAAAGACTTTATAAAGAATATTTTATTACAAAGTAGAGAAATTAATCAATAAAAAGTTTTGAAAAAAATTATTAAAAAAACTTTATTTTTAAACAAAAAGTTCAACATACTTTACAAGTTATGAGACACTTTGTCAGGTTAAAAGTTTGATTAAGGTTGCATGCTGTCATACACTAAATATTAAAAAAATGAAACACATGTTAAACAAAAAATTGATTTTTATTATTAGAAACAAGCTTTAGAAGAAATAATGTAAATTTAAATTCTGTAGAATGGTAAAACTATTCAGACTATTTAGAACTAGTATTCACCAGCCTCTCACATCCACATTTATGACAACAAAAATCTTTTGAAGAGAAATTTAAAAAATTTTAAACTTTTATATAAAGCTAAAATTTTCGGAAATTGCACATAATCGTTTAATAAAGTTGATATCTTTGCACGTCTAAAAAAACATCTAAAACAAAGCATTAATTTAGTTAAGCTATTAAAAAAATTTGAGTGAAAAATGAAAAACTTATCAAGAATGACTAGAAGGATAAACTGCCATCCATGCAAGTTGTTTAGCTGCTTAATAATGTTATATGTGAATGGCTAAACAGCATCTATTGTAGAAAACGAATTCAAAAGTTTTATCATTTAATTTTGTTATTCATTTAAATATGGCCATATGGCTTTTTAGAGGAAATATTTTATGACAACAAAAATTACAATAATAAAAGAGTATAATATATTATTACAAGAGATCAGACTAACATCAAACATAAGATACTGATTGATGAACCTTACTTGGCGGTGGAAGCTTTATAATAATATTTTCAAGTTCCAAATCATAAATATTGTCATCGTCTCATATAAATTTATTACAAATGTCTCCTGATTTCTTATAATACTTAATTTTGTAAACTATACCAACAACTTCTATAACTTCTGCTAAATAAAGCCTCTAGGCTTTATCTAGGCTTAATCTAGCTTTATCTATTTTATTTCGGCCAACTTGACAAATAAAAAACTCAGAAAAATTTTACTTAATGTAAGTATATTTACTCCAAAATAAATTTCATCAGAACTTTCATCATTTAAAAACTAAAAGATGATCTGTTTTGTTATTTTTTTCTTTTTCTTGAAGAGGACTTTATAAATTGTTGGCTATTAGATTTATAATCTAGACTAACTTTAATTCTAGGTGTATCAGTTAAAATATGCAATTTTCTTTTACACCTTTTATGTGTTTTTTTGTATTAGTTGTTATTCTTAACCAGGCTTTGGGAAGAGGTCGTATTATTTTAGGTAAAACAATAAATAATAATGATAGTAAACTCACAGGTGCTCTTTCTCATAAAATTAAATGATGTCGATGGTAAAATGGCAGGAGCATTTTTAACACCAATACAATTATTAGAAATGGAAACTTCAGTATTCACTATCAGCCTATTAGTAATATTTGCAGCTAAAAAATTCAAAACAATAAAAATTCTTTCACCCATGCTCCCCAGGGTTGTCCTGAGGGGGCATAGGGGGGTGTCTAGCCCCTGGTGATTTGTCATTCTTAGTTAGTTATTCTGGAAAGACAATCTGGTGATAAACTTTCTGGAGGAATATATTGGCTTCCTACTTATAATAAAAGTAAGTTCGCAGAAAATGTCCCAACAACAAACAAAGCATCAGAAAGTGACTTTGCTGTATTGGATCGTTTAATTTGTACAAAACCTAATGCCAAAGTATTATATAAGTTTAAAAGAACTACATAACTCATTACTTAAAAAAGCCTAAAATAGCTTTTACAAAATAAAAGTTAAAAAAAACATCATTTAGAAATAAAGTTTGAAATAAATGAAAGAATGTCTAAAAAACTTAAAGAAAATGTTAAGAGCACAGTGCAATTTTTATAAGTATATTATGGAAGCAAAATGCGAACCTAAATATTTTTACAAAATAAAAATGCTTTGTGGTAATAAAATAGACTTAACAAACTATGAGTTTTTCAGTAACTTACAATCAATTATAAGAAAAATAAGTTTTCCAAAGCTCTTTGAGAGAAAGGTTACTCTTAAAGAAAAAAAAGAACTTCATTTGAGAAATAAAGTTCTTTTTTTTTTATATTTTCTATATTTGAGAAAATTTAAAACTTGTCAACCTTATATTTTACTATATTGTTCACAATTTAATTTTCTATTAGAGTAAAATTAGGGCTATATTGTTTAGCATAATTTTTTCTACTGTTTTAAGTTTAGTTAGTTGTTTACAGAAAGTTGTTTTATTTGTTTATTATATATTTGTTTGAAAGTTTATGCAAGAAAAATACCAGATAGATTATTGCCTAAAGTCGTTGGTTAAAATTTTTACGCAGATATTATTTACGATAATAACAAAACAAAACAAAAAAAAACTCCAAAAAACTGATTTTGGAATTACGGAATTGTTTGTCTAAATCACGAAGTATAAAAAATGTTAATTTCTTAATAAAAAGAAATGCTATAAAATTGATTGAATCCATTTTGAAACAAGAATTTGAACAACGACAACATTTTAAATTCAAAACAAGAAACAACATTATATATGCAATAAAATCAAAATTAACATTTCAAATTAATTATATAAAAAGTTTATAAAAGGGAGTAAAGAGCCTATTACTGTTCACATGAGTAAGTGATTCAAAAGATTAAGTAGTTCATTTGATGCAAGTCCTATACATCAAAACAAAAGAAAAGTTTATTTTTTTTTTCTAATTTCTTCAACAGGATTCTCTGTGACAAGACTTAAAAGTCTTCTTTGAGTAACCTCGTTCTTTATTTTTATTTAAAATATGATAACAGAGCAAAAATAAATGGCTGCAGTCGTGGTACAAAAATGAATGGCTGCAGTCTAATTCTTGGATACATGGGCATATCTTCAGTCGTTTCAAAAACTCTTTTTGAGAATTTGGCATCAAATTTATCTTTTGTTTTACGCTTTATCGATGTCAGATCTTTAAAACTTGTATACAAAATCTTACAGTTAAACCTTTTACATTAGACGCTGGGGATGAAGAATCAATAATGTGAAAGCTGCTTGTTATCAAATAGCAGTAGTGTACAATGTATTGGTGGAAGTAGCTAAAAATGCCAAAGACCCAAAAGCAAAGACCGAAGCAACAGGATTGGCAAAACAAATAAAAAACATTGCATTTTTAGTTACTTAGCCAATATTTTCAGCATTGATTCAATCAAAAAAACATATAACTTGAGAGAAAAAGTACAACCGACTTTATTAAAAAAATACAAGAAAATAAATTTGTATTTAATCGAACTTCAACCAGAGAATAGACATTAGAATTAAAAATGGAACCAAATGAAATCAAATTTCCAGTTGTCATCAGCTTGAGAAGAAAGAAGACGCGCAAACAATTCAATTATGAAAGCATAAAAAATCATTGAAAGATCCAAAAGAAAAATATAGAGTTGAAATTTTTAATGTTTTGCTAGATCAAGAAGTCATGTCGTTAACTGCACGTTTCAAGCAAACTGAACGTCTTTTAGATTTCTGCAAAATTAAAAAAAAATTCAATTAAAAAAAAAATAGTTACGCCAAAATAATTTGATAAGACGTTGTAAGAATTTAGTTATTGCGCTCACAGATACATCTAGTCTAGATATTGTACCGTGTTTTGTTTCATTCCCTTTTTACGCTTTACGTTTTATTTACAACCATGGTTTGAACACTGCTACTCCAAATGTTGCTATAGTCATATAGCTTTGATGATTCCGATCAGTGTTGCATTGGCTGAAAGAAGTTTATCTAAATTAAAGTTAATTAAAATCTATGTGAGGCCGAATTTGACTCAGAATTGTTTTATTGATCGAGATATCAACTTTTGACGCAAGTAAGCCTTTTTTTCTATTAAAAAGATATTGTCTCGTATTTTCATTATTTATTATTATTTCAAGACTTTACTGCCATCAAAGCACGATAAGTGGGTGTCCACATGTTAGGTCACGTAATTTTTTTTATCATTTTAGAACCCTCCTTCCCCCCCCCCCCCCCTCCTTGTCACAACACCATAACACTTTAACAACAAGTTTCGTATGATTTGTCACAAAACCACTTACCCCTCCCCTAAAGCGTGACGTAATTTATAGACGATCCCTAAGTATGAATGTGAAATTTTCGTCTGTATGAATTTGAAATTTTCCGGTATGAAATACTAGATTTTCCGCAAAATCCTGGACATACAACACACAATATATATTGTACATATGTATATATTGTATATATGTATATTGTATGTTCAAAATTTTGCATATAGATTTCTTTATTAAACAAAAGAAAATCAATACTTAATTTTACTCTTATGTCTTTTTAGCTTGTCCTCAATCAGATACTGGAAGTATCTGATTAAGGACAATCTAGTCCTTTGATACAGATCAGAGGATGTTGGACATCCTTTGATCTGTATCATAGAATGTGCAACAACAAGCAAAATAAAATTAATGGTTGTGAAGTGATGAAATGAAAATAATCACAAAAGATGTTATAAAAATGCACATAGTTTATTTCTGTTTTCTTTTTTCATTATTTAATTTTTAGAGTCATTTGTTAAAAAAATGCTAATATATACACTTTTTTTTTCTGCCAATAGCAATTATTATGGATATTTAATTTTACCTCTGGATTATAATTAATAAAAAAAAAGTTATATTCAAAACTGCTTGGCGCTAATTTTTATTCAATTATAACTTTATTAAGTTTTAGAGACAATTGGATTTTTTTGCGATTTTCCTTTTATGCACTTCAAACTGATTTTACGCGTGAACATTTTGTTCCAGGAATATTTGTTCCAGTATAATGTTCCGTCAAACGTCGCTGTTTTAAGCATTAATTGGAAATTCTTTGAGATTAATGGAATACCAAATGATTTGGGAAGTGGTAAAAATGTAAAAACATGGACTTGAGGACCAATTTTGGTAAAACTGTCTGACATCAACGTTGTCTTATTTGTTTATGTTTTATAATTTACACCTTTTAATGTCTTCTTTTTTAACAATTTGTTTAAAATTTAAAGAAGGCAAGATATTTTACTACCCCAGATGAGTTTATTTTTCTTTGTTATATCCACAAATTTTGTCTAATTAGACTGCCACTTCAGAATATTTTTTTACTAATATATAAATAAGTTGTTAGTGTAAAATGTTTTTTTTTCTTTACTGGTAAGTTAAGAATAATATTAAAAGTACAAAATTGAGTTACCTTAAAGATGGCTGCGGTATTTTTTTACACCGGTCATATTTTCTCATTGTGTAGTAGTTAAAATAGTAAATAGCTGAAAATAGTTTTAGTGATTAAAGCTATTGTCAGCTCCACTTATGCTGAAACTTGCAGAATAAGATTAGAAGGGTGGTTGATACAACAACTTTATGATTGTGTTAGACCCTACTAGCCAGAGTGTTCCATTCTAAAAAGCAAAGTATAAAAGAGCTTTGGAGCACATTAGATGGCATTCCTATCTTGCTAACTTGAGATGATGCATTCTATTTGATGAATCAGAAACTTAAAATCATAGGCGCTTTCTAGAAAATCTAAGAAATCACATCTAAGAAATATAATCATGATGTTTTGTACTAAATGCACAAAACATCTCTATTATATTTATATAGGAAATCGTATTCATATTTA